GATTTGGGCGCCTAGGCGCTGACTTTCTGTCAAAATTTCAGCATCATGGCGCCTAGGAGTTGAGGGATAGCGCCTGGGCGCTGAGGGCTACTTCGGTGGCACTGGACAGCTTTCAGTATTTTTATCATAACTTTTTCGTTTGATATCCGATTGAAGTGATTCAAGATGCGTTGGAAACCTAATTCAAAGGACTACAATTCTGCTTCAGGAACAATTCTCCAATTCGATCGTTCTTTATGTCAAAAATGAGCCTAAATGTGAGACGAAAACTCCGACGCAAAACTTTTTGGTTGGAAAATGATTTATGATCATATCTTGACCAAATTTGATCCCTTTGACACCTTCCTTTGTCCAATTGGCTTCTAGAACTCTCGGATCTTCATTTCAAGTTTCAACATGACTTTTGATTAATTGCATTTTAATCCTCGAACTTTCGATCTCTTACGTTTTGGTCATTTCATCCAATTTCGCTAGCTTTTGCCTATTTCCTTCATTTGACCTCTTTTAACTCTAGTTTTCTCCATTTCCATCAATCTACAAAACAACACCAAAATCACTTGTTAGCACTTCTAAAATACTCTCCAAGATAGCAAAATCATGAAATTAATGGCATAATATAATGAGTATAATTCACTCATCATATTATCTCTCTGACGAGATTATACCGCCTTAATACATGTTTGGATCATTGATGAGACCTTAGTTCCTGTGCTTTTGCAATGGCTCTATTGTTATCACAATACTATGATATGTGATTAACAATATCAGAAACTACTCCAAGTTCATTTATGAATATCATGATCCATATTGCAATTCTTTGCTACTTCTGAAATAACCATGTATTAGGTTTCTACTATTGAATCAACGGTTGCTTCTCAAGATTTCATCTATGTAAATTGGGATGAGTTAAGCAATTTTCTAAATCTACATCTATAGATCAAGTTGCTTATCTCATATCGTTTATGAATAATTCCTTTAACAACCATTATTTCAACGATTGAAACATAGGGATGTCGTTTTAGGAATACGAAAAATGCTCCCACTATCTTCTTGTAAACACACAATTCGTTTTTCAAATTTGATAAAATCAAACACTTTGACTTTTCATCAAATCTAAGATTTCAGCTCCAAGAGACTTCTCTTAACCTATAGTCACGATATGCAACTGTTGCAAACAAAACCTGAATGGACTTAAGCAAGGCTACAGGAGAAAAGTTTCACCAAGGTCAACACTTAACCTTTGCTTCTAGCCTTGCTTTGTATATATGGATATCCACATCCACATCGACCATTCCCTTGTAAACTATTTACAAAACCTTATGGGTTTTATTCCATCGGGAGGTTTAACCAAGGTCCAAACCTTGTTCACATACGCCGAGTTCATCTCGAGTATCATGGCCTCATGCTGTTTCTTTTAAGTCAACACTTGACTTTATTTTGTTGCAACTAGCAGGTTCATTATCCTGGATCACTAATACCTGATTAATGAATTCGCACCTTCTTTAAGGTCGAATGATCCTACTAGATTCACACAGAGCTGTCACGGGCTCGGCCCGGTCCGCTCCAATAATTAATTAATCCAATTAATTAAACCCGGTTCGTGAATTAATTAATCCAATTAATTAATTCGAAAACATAAATAACAAATTCAATTAATTAATTTATCCAACGATTATTAAATTAACCAATTAGCAATTTGCAATCTTCCAATTTTCTTTTGTGTGTGACCCATTAGGTTCCTGACCACGATACCTAACAACATGGAATATTATTTTAATCTAATCAAAATTGATAAATTAAAACACCCTTTTAATTTATCGTCAATTCACATTCGCCGTCCCTGATTGACATCTAGCAATGTGTCAGGGCAATACATGTGACGGGAAATGTCACGTGGTATGACAAAACCAAATTCGTTCGTTTACCGTGAAACTATAATCCCTTCGTCAATATGATCCGATCAATTACGAGATATAGAGTTGTGTCAATCTCGATCATCGATCATATCTTTCACTCCACTATTAAATCAATATAAGTCGAAAACTCCTTTTCGACTTATGAGTACACCTGGGCCAAGGATTTCATCATCGACTTAATTGAATGAAACGCAGATCATAATCTCCTACTATCTAAGAGTGACGAATCCTTTGTTGATCAATCACAACCTTCATACGATTCTTGACGTACCCGAACGATATCGTATTAGCGGCCCTTTTCAGAGCAACATCCAACACCGCCAAAGTATGACTGTCCTCATATAAGGTACCATGACGACCTCAAGTCAAAGGACCAATTCCACTACCGAACGTTGGAGATTAACCACTGACACTCAGATAGTTATCCATGTGGAATCTCTCGACGGGTGTCCAATGTTTTGTTCTACAACAAAACATCCACGTGTTCACTTAAGTGTCACCACACCTTAACTTGTGAGATCAGCTACTTATTTCACAAGTAAGAAATGTCACACGTGATGGTCTATCCGTAATAACGATATCCGTATCTCGTTATTACTTACGACCACGGATGATTTAAGATTCAATCAGATGTAATTTGTATCTCACAATCACAACTCCTTGTGATTAATAAATTACAAAGATTTGAATCTACGGACTCTATTATTTATTAAATTGTCTATTAATTAAATAATAGATCTACCATTTAATTGCATTAATTATATATAAAAGTATTTATGTCCAAAATTGATTGGACCTAAGGCATAATACTTACATGATTGACATGTATCATTTGATGTGCATTTTTTTCCGATTTTTAAATTTATTACTTTATAATAATAATAATAATAATAATAATAATAATAATAATAATAATAATAATATTATTATTATTATTATTATTATTATTATTATTATTATTATGATGCTACGAGTGCATGTTCGAGCATATGTTATTCCATTTGTCTACTCGTTCTCACTCATTTTGATGATATTGTTAATGTTTTCAGTACGTATAAGGCATTTTCCATTTTTTCTAATATCGTAGTAGCGATGAATGTCAAATTTAAAAAATAATGGGAGGAATTGCTTATGTTGTTTCCGCTAGCTTCAGTCATGGGCTCTAGGTTTTTATTAGAAGGTACAAAACATGTTGTAAACAAAATTCATAAAATTTAAGTTTTGGATCTTACAGTTATACATGGTAATCTAGAGAAAAGTTTAAACGTAAAATGAATGAGAAGTACATAGAAAAGATCGGTAAGAATGTTCGACAACCCACTAGCAGGGGCTAATATGTTGTCACGTGAAACAATGATTTACCATTACGGAACTACACTAGTTCTGGTAAAGTTATTGAATATTTAAATAGTACTTCTTCCCATATTCAAGGTACGAATATAGGTACACTTGAAATATTTAGGTGGTAGAGAATGTATTAATGCTAATATCAAATTGTTTATATTATAGCATGTGATCTACTAATATTTTCAATATTTGTTATAACATCGGGATCTGCTTTTAGTACAGATGATCAAGTTCTTTTTTATTACAAATCAAAATTTAAAGATGTAATATAGAGTTTAAGGGTAATTGGCCACATAAAATATCCTTACCTCTTAACGTTATTATGCAAAACATTCCTACCTCTCATTTTTTGACATTTTCATCCTTACATCTTTCATTGCGCAAAAGGTTATTTTCACCCGTTTTTGACGATTTTACCCTCCTTTTCAAATAAAACAAAAAGAAAAGAAAAAATTGCAATCATAGTCTCAAATTAAAAAAAAAAATTACAAATGAGTTACAAATATATACTTAAAAATAAAAAATAAAAAACATTTATTCTTACTGTGAGTTTAACCTACCATCACCGAAATTACTATGAGTTTAACCCACCGTCCATCTCTACCTAAATCGCCGAAAAATGCTCGCCTCACTGGCTAGTTTAACCCACAAACACTTCCCCATCAATCAATTGCACAAACGAATCCTTTAACCATCCAAAACTTAGAAGAAACCAATTTGCTTCCTCCATCAATTTCGGCATCGATGATGGGTCCCATGGTCCCGGATCATCCATTCCGGCATCCCCTCCTCATGCTCCAACTATTAAACTCTCTCAGGACTTTCTTTCTGTTTTCTTGCTCCGCCATTGACGCCACTGTCTTCTGCTTCCCTTTATTCTCTTCACCTTTATAGTACCCATCGCCCAGCCCAATAGCGACGGACCACTATAGTCAGCCATCGATGATTGCCAAGAAATTGCATAAGTCCAGCTCTCTTGAGCATCTTCCATCAACGCCAACAAATGCTGATGCAACGTTTCTTAATTGAAAAACTATTCCGTAAGGAGAGCATTTTTTGGATGCAAGCTGCAAAAAGCAATCGACTTTGCTGGGTTACTGAATGGGCAGTTTGAATAATCAAAAGTTTGAATTTATTGTCCCAAACAAGTAAAAAACAGCTAAACAAGAACCTGGATTTTTAATAGCAAATCAAAACCTGTTGACTTGGTCTCAATCTACCAATAACTCATGAGTCTTCAAGAAACATACCAAACCTTCAAGAAAAGTTGAATTTGCCAAGAAGTTTGACTTGGGCACTAAGCTTTAAAACACCCAGGAAAATTGGATGAGTAGAATTTACACCATGCTGGCTAGACGAACAACCAAGAATCTACAACAAATTGAACCTGGAATGAAACTATAAACAAAGTCGAAACAGCACCAAATTCTGGATATAAAATCGAACATCACCAAAGAGAAGCACCAGTGTAATTGGTTAAAGGGGAAGTGGCATTTTCGACGCTTTACGTGGTGACGGTGGGATAAACTCATAGTAAGAATAAATTTTTTTTTATTTTTATTTTTAAGTATATATTTGTTAATTTTTTGAAAATTTGGGATTATGGTTACAATTAATTCTTTATTTTTTCTTTTATTTGAATATGAGAGCAAAATCATCAAAAATAGATGAAAGAACCTTTTGCGCAATGAAAAGTGGAAGGTTTGGGTGAAAATGCCAAAAAATGAAAAATAGGGACATTTTGCACATCAACATTGAAATGTA